ATCCCACCAAATCATTCTGTCTCTCTTCATTTCACTCTAAACGGCATTAGTTTTAAAATATGAAGCAGTATAAATAAAGCACACTCTTCATTTCACAGTTGGAAATCAGCATTCCATTTACTGTGGAAAATAGGTACTTGGGATAATATGTCCCAAATTATGCATTAACAGAAAACAGAGAGTGAACTCAGCTCTGGTTTTGGTCTCCTATATTCTGTTTAACTTCAGCTTCAGTCAGTTGCACTGATGCTACCACCACACTGCAGCCTTAAAAACTGATAAACCGACAATTAAGCCCAGGTAAATTTTAGGGCACTAAAGGTTATTTCATCATAAAGTAAGATTAAAGTGTCAGTATCTAAAATTAAACATAATTGTTTGAAAATGTTATTACTTTTGTTTCTTTTATATGCAGCAGGTAGAAGAGCTGAGGGCAGTGCCAAGCACAGACAGCTCCTCCGAGTGCTTTACTCCCTAGGGAGGCTCAAGTAGGTGTTCCATGCAAAACAGGCAGATTTAGTGCTGGAGATCCCCCTTTTCCATGACCAGTTCCTCCAAAATGGCTATTTATGGCCAGATCACAATCTAGTCTTCAAATTATTGAGATTTACAAGCAAGCAGTACACCTATGTCATGATCATAACTACTTTTTCTAGCTATGGCTATTCTGTAGGGCTACTCTCTGTGTGCATCCTCCTCTAGGTTTTTAGCTGTTCTCAATACCACCTAACTCAGCACCGCTGTCAATACTCATTAGGAACTGACATATAAAGCTGCCCCAGCTGATGGGTTTAATAGCTTTCCTCACTGCATTTATCCTTTATCCTTCTTCCAATCTGTAGATTTATTATCACTACTAATTATCCATTGTCTGGGGTTGATTTGTTTGCTGGACAAAGGTAATTCAGTAACACTGTTCAGTGTTCAGTAACATCCCTTCAGGTGCAAGAGCTGCACTGCAAAATGTGTAATAAGAAGCCTGAGGGGAAAAAAAGTACCACTGTTTTTCACCTCTCTTCTCTAATCAGCACAGATAACAACTTCATCCCCTTTCTCTTTACTTATCCTGCTCAATACCTCCTGTAAATCGGGTTATCTGGTAGTTCAGCAGCTTCTAGAGTTAGAGATTAGCTGCTGCCCAGCGGAGTAACACGTAACACTTAGCACTCCCACACCTCTTGCTTTGGTCCTGCACTGTACGGTGCTCTGCCAGATCAAATGTGGCATGTCACGCCATGAAAAACAGATGGAAGGATCCTTTAATGGTGTAGTAGCTGGAAAAGTATTTAGAGCTACAGAACAAACACAGGCTAACCTTTTCAAAGCTGCCTAATGCATTCAGCTCACCAACCCCCCCAATACTACAAATAGAAATCAAGTGCCCAGCTTCTTACTTACCTTCAAATGTCTCAGCACGCACACAGAGCTATATGTTACTTTCTTAAAGCGAACCTCACAAGAATAGCTTATTTTCAGTATGGTTATGATTTTTCCCCTTTATTTGTAGCCTGCTGGGTGAGGGCAATTTATAGAAGCATTTAAGAACAGGGTCTTGCCCTAAGGATTTTGCTTTTTAATCCTTACAGACAACGTACCCAAAATGATGACTTAAGATTAGCAAAACTTGTGTACACAGCAATTGGTAAAGCAACAATCAATCATGGTAGCTCTGCTGAAGCCAGAGGTGTTAATTTATAACAGTCTGGGAAGCACACAGATCTAAATTATCTTTATTTTAAATATTGCTAGTTTTTTGCTTTTCTGTCCTATACTGATGCTACTTTTCTAGTTCATAGTTTATCCAACTGCTAGAGGTAACAGTAATTTTCCTTACTGAGCAGTCAGTGTAATTCATCTCTTTTGGGGGCCCAGAAATCCTTCCCGATAGTAGGAACACAGTGCAATATTTTCTTTCCCCTTTTCTATTTCTTCAGCTCTTTTACCAAGATTTTCCCGTTCATATTATTGCTGATAATATATGGCAAACCTGAAACCCCTTCCACCAGAGGAAGTCAAAGTCTTTTAGGAACAGTACTAAAACAGGCTGAGAGTGATGCTGACCAACTGTTTGCATTTTCTATGCAGAGCCTACATCCTATAACCTAACAGTATGGTTTCATCAGCTTTCACAATAGCCGTGTGCTGACTAGATGCAAAAAAAGGAAGATCTGTGTTTATTCAGACAGTGCTTCTACTGTGTTAACGTACTACCATGCATAATTCGCTTCACTCCCTGTCATATTAGTCATTCTCTTTGACTTTACTGGTGTTCTTGGGCTGATAAATTTATAGCTACAGTAATAGGATTCTGAATTAAGACACAATTTAAGAACACGGTTTCAATTGCAATGATTTGTGGATATGAGGTCATTTAGACCAGTCTACTTTCCTTTTGCCAGAGAAGATTTGTAGCTATTATTTCCCCCCCGCAAAGCAATGATCACATGCTGTTTGCTTCAGCACTGGATGTTGCAATACCTCAATGAATAATATACAAGAAGCAGAAAATAAACAAACCCACTATGCCTAGGGATAATATGTGGTGTGTTTTTCTTTAGGATGATTAAATGTGAATGCATGTTATAGGATGTAAGGATTGCTCTGCCGGGAACCTATGAGTATGAGAGCATACAGCCCTCTATCTAATCAGGCAAATGGCCACGGAGAAGGTTAAAGGAGCCCCTAGGCAGACCCAGCATATGCACTGGCTACTCTCTGGCTGCTGTATTCACTTGGCTTTTTTCCTGTAAGATACAAGCACTTCACAGATTCCTGGATCAAATTCTACATTCTTTCACACCTAGGAAGTTCCACCGAACACAGATTTCCACCACAGAAGCAGGAAGCTGAACTTAGCTTTGCCAGCCTTTCACTAGCACTAAAACCACAAAAGAAACCTTTGAGGTTGACAGAATGGGCCACACAGTTCATGCCTCAGGGGATGGTCCCACACAACATACACCAGTGGGTATCAGCTGTCCCTTCCTATTACAGTGTCAGGAAAACAGTTAAAACCATTTCCTTTCCTTTTACATGGAATTACCCTCCTGTAGACCTTAAGCAAAGCTTCCATCTGATGCCTTAACAATTGCACAGATCAGCATCTTTGGTAGATACAAGAGATTAACATGTCTACAAGACAAAGTTTTCAAAACCAAGATCGCTTTGCAGTATCTCTCATGGCCTTTGGTGGTGGAGAGAAGGAAGCATGCTGAATAGTGCTGATTTTTAGAGCATGAGTCAGCCCTATACCACATCTCAAGACAATGACCACCTGCCCAGCAAGCAAGAAAAAGCCATTTAAAAAAAAAAAAATCTTGGTCTCTTCAGCCTCTTGTGTTCTTGTGTCTGGTTTAAAGTAATTTTAAGCAAAAATGCAAATCCTCTTTTCACCAAAAGGGTGTTTCAGCAAGAGAACATGGCCTGAGCTCTGTATTTGCGATAACACAGAACAACCAATATACCAACAAATATCAGACTATTCACTTCAAATAAATCGGTCACCTGTTCTCAAAACCAAAGCCAATCCATTTTGTCCATAACAGCAAGTCACACAGGCAGCTACTGACGTCCCGCATTAGTATCTCTATCTATTGCACCTCTCAGCATGCAAATTATATCCTTGCCTAGGCAGTCAGATTCATTTCTGAGCAAAGAAATACATCACCAGCTTTCAACAAGCTTGTTTATCTTCACTCACTTTTCAGAAAAATAAAGACTGTGACACAGACCTTCAAAGGGTGATCCCCTCTCCCATCCACCCAGCAAACACCCAGTTTATTGCCTTTGGTTTCTTTTTTCACCACAGTTATGCTTGTTACATGGAAAAGCATTCTGTTTCTACTACTTTGTGAAAAAGGATTTTCAATAAAAGATAAGCAACAGCATCAGAGAAGACTTCTATATGGAGGTTTCAGTCAGTAAACAGGTGTCTGGGAGATTATCTCACCAACTTAACCGAAGCTGCAAACATCAGAACGATTCTGGGATGACTAAAATCCCCCTTTTTTAAAAGAAAAGCCTTTTATCTGCCAAGCGACACTTCCTGCTCTAAAGGCTATTCTCCTCAGTAGTTGTCAACTATGTATTAATCTAATTCATATAAGCCTTAGAAATACTTTCATGTGCAGAATCTTTTGGGAAACTCTGATTCCCTGAGGCTTTAAAGAGCAATTGTTGCTTATCACCGTGGAAATTTCCCTTGAATTTAAAGCCTGGTAACAAGGAAAAAAGATACATCAAATATTTCAGTGATTAACAAGTTTCCGGGTCTTTGTCATCCTCAAAGGATTTTCATCGGATCAGTAAGGAGAAAGTGCTAAAGAAGAAAATAAAAGAAAACTGATCTGACCCAGTAAGACAGTTCTTGTGTTCCCAGGTCCTGTATTCACCACTCTTGTCCAAAATAACAGCACTCACTTCTAACAGTGCCTTACAATCAACTACAGTATCAAACACATTAGGCCTTATTTTAAAGGGTATCTGTGCTGGCAAAGACAAACACTACTTAACTGCGAGTAGATAGTTAAACCCCTCCCCAAAGAGGGACAAAACCATAGCAAAAGCACTCTGCGTGGGAGAGGCAAAGCACTATCAGAGCACTTAAAGAAAAGTAGGTAATTGAAGTTTTGCTACCTTTAAATTCCATGCCTGTGCAATAAAAAGCTGATTTTAAAAGCCCTGTAAAGCAGAGAACTTCTCCGGTGCCTTACTGTCTATCATTGCACAGAAATGGCCCCACTAGAGCAGTGAATTGCAGTGTGTGGTACGTTGTTGCATAATGGGGGCATGTGATAAATGGCATGGCATACATGTTAAAAGCCTCCTAGTGATGGAGGCTTTCGATCATCTTCACAGCATTCAAGGAGGAAAATAACATATTTCAGTGACTAGAAGCAACCTTTCACATGGATTAACTTCAAATTGGTAAGATTCATCCCATTTCCCCGACATCTTTGTGTGCTACCAAATTTGAAACTTGCGAAAACAATCTACTGTACCTGAGTATGAACTGATCCACCGTAGAATTGTTGGCAATTGTCACATAAACATTCACAACCTCTCCTTGTTTGACAGGCTTTGAGGGCAACCAGACAACAACATTACTATCCAGCCGTAGCTCCGTTAGCTGAGAAGTCTCCTGGCCTCGATAGAGGCTGACAGATCCAATCCTCTGTAAGTGGGACATGGTTTCATCCATGCCATCTTTTCCTGGCCGGATAGCATTTCCCTTCCTTACATCCTCAGCGGTACACTCTCCCTTCTCGTCTCCTGGTTGGATGGTATAGTAAAGCTCCACAGGGCTCCCTTCAGACTGATCCATTGGTTTCTTACGGCCAGCAACAAACGTGGGGGGGTTAAACCAGCTTGGCAGGAGCTCCAGCTCTGCCACACACAACCCCAGATCCCCTTTCAGCCTACAGCTGCCTCTGACTTCCCGTGTCTCTCGGAAGGCAAACACCCGCAGGCAGGGCAGCCGTTCCGTGGTGCTATAGTCATCCCAGTCCCTTCCCACAATGTAGAACAGGACCTGGACTTTGGGCTTGCTTGGGTAAATTTTGTCACTCATTATGTAGGCCTTAAGTTTCCAGTTGTAAGTAAACTTGTTGGCAGATCCAAAAAAGTCAGAAGTTAACATTAGGTCCTGGGGCACAACTTGCTCAACAGAAAAAGGTCCATAGCTGGCATTTAATATTGGTGGTCTCTTGGCCTTATATGGGAAGAACGATTCCACCCTGGACTGCAAACTGGAATTTCTCATAAAGTCCTGGTTGGCTTCTTTGAGAAAGAAGGATGTCTCAGCACTGAATATCCGATAACTGACACGTAGGTATGTTGGTAATGAAGAAAATCGCTGATTATTGTCCAAGATCCCTCGACACTCTGTCACTAATAAAAGAAAAGGTGATGTGAGTTAGGTAAAATCTGCTTATAGGTTCAAAGGGACATTTACTATAACTTTAGTAGAGCTACCTGGTAAGTTAGGTACTAGCATTACTTCATGCAAAAACATATTTACAGTGTAGCTATACATTTAGATATAGCCAATTCTTTTTTGAATTACATTCACAAAAGAAAAAGGCTTTGCATTTAACTATGATAAACGTTTTGTCACACATGCACACATACATACACAGGTGATGTACAAATGGTTGTGTGCAGCACCATCAATTATTCATACTCCCAGAGGGAGTAGGAAGATTCACACAGCAGGAGCAATGCTTGTCCCAATAGCCATTTTACATGGCTTAACTGACTGCAGCAGTTCTTTGCTGATAGCAAACACAAAGTAATCATTGAATACTTTCACTATCACCTGGATGAGAAATAAATAGGTTATTTGTCACTCCTATGCAACGTCTCACCTCCCTAACAAAACTTCAAATAAACTTGCTTAAGTCTGTGCACACCAATTCTCTTAAGGACTGGCCACAATTCAAAGTCAAAGCCTTCCAAAAGCAATTCCGTAAGTAAACTGTGTGTCTTTTAAACCACCCATGTGCTCACCTTCCCCACTCT